ATCAATATAAAAATACTATTAGAATAGTATTAATGGAATGTAACAATGAAGATTGGAAGATGTAATTAAAAAAGTAGTATATCGATGGAATATGACGATGATGATTAGAAGATGTAATTAGAAGTGTATATCAATATAGAAGTATTATTAGAATAGTACTAATGGAATGTAACGATGAAGATTGGAAGATGTAATTAGAAGAGTACATCAATATAGAAGTACTATTAGAATAGTATTAATGGAATGTAACGATGAAGACTGGAAGATGTAATTAAAAAAGTAATATATCGATGGAATATGACAATGATGATTAGAAGATGTAATTAGAAAAGTATATCAATGTAGATGTACTATTAGAATAATACTAATGGAATGTAACGATGAAGAAGTAGTATTAGAATAGTACTAATAGAATATAACAATGATGTCTAATGGATATAATTAGAAAAGTACTGTATCAGTAGAATATAACAAAAATAATTAGAAAAGTACTATATCAGTAAAATATAACAAAAATAATTAGAAAAGTACTATACCAATAGAATACAACAGCGATAGTTACGATTCCACCAAATTAGGAACTCGATAATTCCTAACAACAGAATTATCAATAATACAGCATAGCACTATCCATAAACCTTTGCACTCGATTCAACGCACATTTTAAAATTCAACCTTCAACTGCATATAATGTATGAGAAGAAATATTGAAACAACATCATCGCTATTTCATCAGGATACGATGAATATTTAGAAGGAAATGTATAATCGAGTGCAAGGCGTGAATCTTAACCCGTTGACCGCTGCAGTGGTCACCGACGACTAGACAGTCCAAATTATGTGAAAATAATTACAAAAAGAAAACTAGCATCGTCTCAAAATATTCAGTTACGTGAATAGCTAAATAATAGTGTAACTTAACCATCCAACGAAACTGAATATTTTTCACCATTTGCACTGCTCTCTACGACCTATCTATTGTTTAAAATACATTTCAAATAAAATATCGTAATAATAGAGTTATCGAGGGAAAAATGCAAAAGGTGGTCTGTATCTCATCAGAAATTACAGAACATTACTAACAAACTTTCGAGTGCAAAGGATTAACGCTTGATCCCAGTTATCAGAGGATCGAGTACAATCTCTACTTACTAATCTATTTACAAAATACTTATACAATCTATTTATAAAATTCTGATCAACACTAGATTTACCGAGCGGATCACTTTGACCCGTTTTGAACTTTGAGGAAAATTACAGAAACCGTTTACATTTTTTTCCTGTCACTATCCACGTATCTGAATATTTTTAGACGATGCCAGTTTTCTTCTTATAATTGTTTTCACATAATTTGGACGGTCCAGTCGTCGGTGACCACTGCAGCGGTCAACGGGTTAAGACATGGGTATATTCACGTCTTGCACTCGATTATACATTTCTCTATAAATATTCATCCTATCCTGATGAAATAACGATGATACTGTTTCAGTATCTCCTCTGACACATCATACGGAGTTGAAGGTTGAATTTTAAAATTCAATTTAAATAATACTGCAAGTTAACAACCACGACACCAAATCACTGCTAATTCATTCTAATATCATTCACGTTCGTTACGATGCGATAAGTAATGTTACACGAAACGCTCTAAATTCTCGTTCTCGGTCAACGTGTTAATGGATATCGTAAAGCGAGTAGAAACGAGCGAGGAACCGATTTCAGAATAAGACGATCGTTGGAACACGTTCCCATAGATATTTTTTCTTAGAACGACGCGTACGAGAGGTTCCATTGCGCGGCGAATGATAATGGAAATCGCCGGGAGCCGATCTTTCCCTTTTCCAGCGAGGGTTCTGCTCGCGATCGCGATCTCCTAACACAATAGCCTCGCGGCGATTACTCTAATGAGAGTGTACCGTATAAAATACGGGCACGCTTGATACCGCATCTAGAGCGAGAAGAACGAGGGACGTTGCCACCGGATCGAAACCTGTTGCGATTCCTCTGTCATTCTGCATTCGAGCGATCGTGGGATCCGCCGGGATCCGTCCACGTAAAAGGCTCCCGCGAGAGTTTCGCGAATCGAGCTCGATCTGCTCACTCGTTCGCGTAAAAGGATCGTTGTGAATCGAAACGATTCGATGAATTATTACAAACGTGAAATGTCAACTGTCGAACACCAGTGAAACGAAATTAACGCTGAAACTACTAGAAAATGTCGGATTTCAGTCTCCTTGTTTTGGGTTATTGGTATCTTGAAAGTATTGACCCTTTGCGGACGAAGATTATTTATAGTATACGAAACCTAAGGCAGATCCTGTCGAATTACACATCGAATGCTTAATAATATAGAAAAAAAGAAACAACGTACTGATCTTTCGCTGTTTCAATAATTAAATTGTTTGTGCAACTTAGTATTACAAATATGAGAGTTTGATCTCGGCAGTGTCGACATTCGTCCGCAAAGGGTTAACCCTTTGCACTCTAGAAGTGACTATAGTCAAATATAATTAGGAAAGTACTGTATCAGTAGAATATAACAAAAATAATTAGAAAAGTACTATACCAATAGAATACAACAGTGATAGTTACGATACCACCAAATTAGGAAACTCGAAAAAAAAACTCGAAACTTGATTATAGTAAAATTATAAAGTTTCATGTCTAACCCTTTGCACTCGAGCGGCGCCTTTCAATTTGAAAAGCCATTTGATTCGAATTAAATTTTCAAATTTAGAATTCAATATCAAATTTTATATGATCTACCAACACATGGAACATCGAAATAAAATAGTTTCGTCACTTAATTTGTGCAAGGTGTTGTTTTATATTAATTGTAAAAAATACTATTGATATTTTATCAGAAAATAAGGAATATTTGTTGAGAAAAATATTCTCGAGTGCAAAGGGTTAAACTCGTTCTATGATGTCTTTAACGTTTGTGCTCGATAAAGCTCATTAGTAATTTCTTGGAAGAGCATATGTACTTAATATTTATCTTTCGTCTACGTTTACTCTAGACTGACGATAGAGAAGATATAGATTGTGCACTATAAATTCAACCTTTTGATAATCAAGTACTTCTACATGTATATTTTATTTAAAAAAACATTAAACGTTAATTAGTAAGAAATCAACCTGTATTACAAAGAGGCGTATTACCTGTTCATTTAAAAGTAAAAGTAACTGAAATCATTGTAAAGCGCGACGAATACTTCTGTCGATATTATGAATTAATAAAGTAATATTTTACTTAACCGTCGCGTTATTATAAGGCACAATTAACGCGGTTCGCCACCGTGAAATCGGTTTCCTCTTTCGAAAACCTCAGCGAACTGAAAACGAACGTGACACCGTTCTTAGATCTCCTCGAAGCTTTTTATCTGTTGATATTTCTCGTGGCCATCTTCTGCAGTACGAACGCGTAAAGTACCGCTCGTTATTGCATCTCATCGAGGACAAAGTCGTTCCGTGGCGCAGGCAGGAAAAAATGAACGGAGCCAGGCAGCGGTGGTTTCACTTTTCATTGACTAATTTAGCGGCTCGAAAGGTTTTGCGGGCGAGATTACGTTATGCTTTTTGTAAGTGAAATCCCCGGCTCTTCTCTCAAACGTTCTACTTTCTACTGGCGGCGCGACCGCGTGCTATTTACTTTCTTGCGCGGAGATTGACGATGTTTCTGGAAAAAGGGCTCGTAAACCAAACGACAGGTTCGCTATATAACGTCAGACGTTGTCGTTTCAGTTTTTACAATGCGTTGCTAGGTTACGAATCGACTAAGACGTGGATTTTAGCGCTAGAACCACTGAATATTTAATACGATTAATATGTGATTCTTATATAAATTGTAACAATAGATTTTTTAAATTTCTTTTGATGGAATCTTGAAAATGATCACAGCAATAGAAGATAGATCGAAAGCAATAGAATTTTTCATTAATCATACTCGCCACCGGGAAGAATAAGAATCAAGGAAGTGCAAGCTGAAAAGTATTTGGGAAACAATCGTGCTCGATCGCTTCGAGACAAAGGGACGCGAATCGAAGTCCGGGGGAGTCTCGAATCGCAACGACACGCTCGCCGAGTTATTTTAACAAGGCGTGAATGACTTTATCTTGGAGCGAGCGGCGCAATAAGTCGGAGGTTTCAACATTCCAGGCGAACTTTTCTGAAACGACCGACGCCCGGCGAGGTGACTCACGATAAAACAGATCGGAGACTGCGATCGAGCGTGACAGTCCGCCGAGGATCCTATTAATTACGGAAGAACAGGTACACAGGGACGATGACTTTCGAATCCGCACAATGGCACCGTTCCTCGGGGGCAATTAAACATTCCAACAAAGGCGAGTCTGCGCGAGGAGACGCCGCAGCGACGCGACTGCACGGGCGAACGCTGTTTCTGAATAACGAGACGCGTTCGAGCCTGTTGCCCGTTCGCTCGCGTCGAGCACGCTCCTTTTCCTTTGACTCTGTTGTTCGTTTGGTAAACTAACCGATATCCACGAGATGCAGAATGAAAGTAAAACAAACGTAGAGTATGCAATTTCAACGTAGAAAATATCGTTTCTATCTCGTTAAAACCTGAATCTGAATCTCCTGTAGATTGCTCTATATTTCATTAACAAAATATCGAGGAATAGTGTCATATACTTATTATTAATATTTCAGAAAATTAAATTGACATAGTCAATAGTGTAATCTTTATATCTAAGATTAACACTAGAACTACTGAACAGTCAAATTGTCTTTGAAACTTCTCTGTAGAAATTACAGTGCTATTGAGACTTCAATTGATTTGCAAGGTAGTTTGTATATTGCTAAATCAATTTCTCTAGTAATTTCTAAAAGAAGAGTTATCTTTTTAATAACTGAAAAAGGAGTCATGAATAGATCATTTACCTGCCTGGTAGTTCTAGTGTTAATGTCAACGAGGCAAGTGATGCCATAGTTCAAGACGAAATGTCCTAGAAAATATTCATCGAGAAATTTCGACTCACCGAAGGTTCAGCCCTCTCGGGTCAGTAATATCCAAAAGGATCGTCGAACGGAGTTAAACTAGCGACACATGCCCGTTAGAATTCGCGGGAATGGATCTTCTGGTGATCCTGGTGCGGTCGGTAAAATCTGACGGAGAATTGGCGGACGGGGACGAAGAAAAAGAGGAGGAGGAGGAATAAGAGAACGAGACGAACGACAGTGTCAAACGGGAAAGTTTAAAGAACCCGAGCCACGCGACGGCTCGTGATGGACTGATCGACGCGCGCGTTTATTAACCGAATGAAACCGAAGCACAAAGTCGGTACCCAGACGAGCGCGGGCTGCAAGCGGCGAATGGTATCGGTACAGGCCGAGCAGAAGCGATCTCGGCCGACTCGACCGGCGGAACCAGTCGTGGGAGTCGGGAATCGGTGCCTGTTAGATTATTCGGTGGGACGAGGAGGTCTGATCTACAAGGTGGTCCAGTAAGAATTACCACTTGCATATCTCTCTTGAATCCTTTGGATGCTCTTATTGACAAGTATCAACTGATCAACACGAAATCATTGGCAATAACATGGAAATCCAATGGAATTCAAATCGAACTATCCACTGAACTAATATAATTTTTCAAATTATAGGCTTGCTATTTTTCAATAGAAAACGAGCTCCATTATAGTTCTATTTATACTGAAATATTTAATAGTCGGATCAACGTGAAAATTCCTAATTTCCTCTTACGCAATTACTGAACACTGGGTAGTTTAATTAACGCTAACCGTACTAGTATTTTTCCTACTGTAACCAATTAACTGGCAGAATACAGGTGAACAAGTTAAATAATAAATGTCTGTTAGTGGAAACAAAAGCTAAGACGAAGATTGAAAAACTGATTAATCGGATGATATAGAAATGAAGTTAAATTAACGGAAGAAGGCGTAGAATTTTCAATTCTTCGTTAGTTCCTACGTTAGGAACAGGAGACATCTGATTGCGAATTCTTACTGGAACACCCTGTACACACGCGCGCGTATATATGGTGGTACCAGCCACCACGGTCTCGACCATGGTCCTCCTCGTCCACTTTCGTTCGCGGTTTGCAATTGATCGCCATTAGAGATGTCCTAACTGGACGGTTCCACCGGACAGCTGTCTTCATTCGTTCATTGTCTCACCGTTTTACGGGGTTCGCAGGGAATTCCGTTGCGCCGTGGTACCATTCGCGAATTTCAAACGCGAGGAGGCCGAGGAACTGTCGAAGAGAAACTCGTGTTAGACGGAGAGTCTTGTTGCTCGGCGTTGTTTTGTTAAATGTTATTAATAGCCGCGGCAATTCGAAGAAACTTGAAAGGAATTTGGTAGCTTCCCCCTCGTTGCCTTAACTGCACTAAATACGAAACGAAAGTGCGTCGGATTCTATCAAATCGTTACGTTTCGGGACCTTTCGAAAATATTTCACACGTCGGGAGCTTCCTGGTTCCAAGCTAATTCCAGATTCGGTCGACTGGTTCGTGAGAACGCTCGTTTTCCTTGCTCGAACAAATTGACCTATGGAAATTCGAATTTTCGAAAACGCCGGAGTCTCTGGAAGAAATAAAATATTCATCGTGAGCGTCACGGTTGAGTCTCGATCGCAGAGAAAGAACGACTATCCTGAAGAAAGATCTGGTTTTACCTTTCTTTTCGGTTTGTCTTTCGACGAAATTGTAGTGTCAAAAAGCAACGTCGGAAGATCGTAGCGGTACCGTCTGCGATTCGAAGACTGTTGGCAGGCAGAGAAGCGAGAGAATCGAGACAGAACAGAGGGAATGAAGACAGAAGCGCGATCGGTGATCGTAGATGATTCGATAGAATGAGAAGGGATAGGAGGATGGCGGTACCAGCCACGGTCGAGACCAAAGCTGTCTATCCTCTTCTGTCGCAGGCCGCGGAGAGCGACGGACACGCTGTTCTCGCGACGAACCGTTTATATCTCAATCGACTCGCGATAAAAGCATATTTCCACTCGATTCCGATCGGAATTTTTCTCCTATCCTAATTAATTGCGACGCAGTTAATTACGCTCGTTAATCTACGCGTTCCCAGCTAATTTCAACGCTCGTATTTATTAGCCGAACTTTTCAACCCTTCCCTCAACCCTTATCGCATTCCTTCCTCTCGTTAAATCATGCTCTTGCGTGTAATCTTTCCTCTAATCGACATGAAATCCAACCGCGGTACTTTTAGCACATTTAATTAATTTCTCTTTCTATGAAATCCACGGTCCGCCGTAGCTTTTTACGCGTATCAACGCGCTTATGCATTTATTCATCGCTTTAGAGCGTAATAAACGAATGATTTTTCAGCTTACACGGAGGATGATGATAGGAACTCGGAGAAATCGAAAGCGAGGCTAGTAATTAACTGCGATAATAATTTCGTTTGCATCGCTTCGCGGTTCTTTATCCAGTAACTCGCTATCAAGGTTTATCCGCGGGTATTTTTACGCTGAATCACGCTACGTGAGTTTCGAATTGATATTTTTCCTACGTTCAATGTAAATAGTAATTAGTCAGAAAAATTCTTTACGTTGCTAACTATCGACGAATAAATAACGACTGTTTTTAAATTATCGCAACGAAGGACACTTCTTTCGAAATTATCGAACCCGAACATTCAAAAAATTATGAAACTTTGCGTGAAAGTGGAATAAATTAAGCCTTAACACATTGCATTCTCTTTCGTGTCGAATTTTATTTCGAAGGTTCACTTTGCTATTACATTCTGCTAATACCGATATATTCCGTTGGAAGTAAATTTGTACTTAACACGTTGCGTACCGGCTAATTTTCAGAAAATTGAATTGTGCGGATGGCGATTTTTAGTGAGACCAACTTACATCACTATAGATAAGAAAACTCAGATATATTGTTATGTAATATATTTTAAATAGATAATTAATTCGAATTTAATTTAATATTTCCTTCAATGCTGTTATAATTAACAAAGTTGCGTAGCTAAGCGTCTTTACATAAAAACGAGCTTTCTCGTTACGAGTATGCTATGTGTTAACACGTTCACTACCAACGTTTATTTCGATGACGGTCGCCTCAATTATATTTCCTTCGATCTAATAAATCTTCTACACAAAATATTAAAACAATAAAACTGAAACGAGTCATTGAATTCATAAATATAATGTCGCAGTTTATAATTTCTAATAACAATATCTATAGGATTAATTTCATTTTCATTATGTAAAATATAGGATTACGGCCGTATCAAAATGTGGAAACTTTCTTTGCGTTTCTTCGAAACTGCTGATAGAAACAATTTGCACGAGCTTAATAACAAAAGTAAATACTACAAGGAGTTAACCCTTTGCGGACGAATGTCGGCATTTTGCTGAGATCAAACTTCCATGTTTGGACTACTCAGTTGTGAACAAATGATTTAACTATTCGAACAGCAAGAAATCAGTACACGGTTTCCTTATTCTCTATGATTCAAGCATTCAGTGTTTAATTTAGCAGAATTTGCAAAAGGTTTTGTATACTTTCAACAATCGTCGTCCGCAAAGCGTTAAAAACAGTTAAAAGTGCGGTCTCTTTGAGTTTTTTGCAAGACCGGAACTCGGTCAGCCGCGACAGGCGCGAGGAAGACAAGAAACCTCGCCAAGGGAAAACGAAGAATTCCTCATTGTGGGTCCGTTCGCATGGCGGTTCGCACGAGAGACGCGCGCGTTCGTTCCTGTTACGCGAGGTTCTCGTCGCGGATTTTGTAATTCGGCGTTATTTTCTCACGCGTAGACACGGTTGCGTTCCGTTCCGTTCGTTCGTCTGTAAAGATGGCGGGACCGGGGTCCGGTGGTAGGGCTGGAAGAACCGCGGCTCTAGCATCCTGTCGCTGATGTCTCGTCCTAAATTTCTCTCGGATTTCACAAAGCCGAGGAAGTCGGCGATTTTCGTGACTGTTCAGTGAAAACGTTCAAGGGAGATCGCGAGCGTTGCTTCCTCCGATCGGGGACGACGGAGATGATCTTGGGTCCTTGAGTTTTCGAAAATCAAACGAGTACGCTTGCTGTTCCTCATGGTGGAGGAGGAAGAGAGTTCTATTATGGAAAATAGAAAATAGACAGCTTAGTTTACGTTTAACGAAATTTTGGAATCTTTCGTTTCCTAATTTCAATGAAGATCATCTATTTTTTCTCTTCATTTCCCTCTGTTCCTTTCTTTTTCTTCTCTTTTCTCCTTCCTCTACTTTTCTTTTGTCTTCTTTCTTTCCTCTATTCTATTCCTATTTCCTTCTCATTTCTAATTTTCCTCCCACAAAAGAGACGCAGAACGCTGTAAAACCCCCGCGTTATCCATTGGCGTTAGCAGAACTTCCAGGGAAATCATCGACGACTGGAACAGAGTAATGTCAAATTCCAATCTGCAATACGGCCGAAAAATCGGCAAGGTCTCTTTAATCCCGGGCTCGTTGCGTGTCCAGCAGTATGCAAGTGTGTCGGTCAAACGTCACCGACTTCGATGTGAACGTGAAACAAGCGGACAGGTTTTAGGTATGATTCAGCGCGAGACGGGAAACCGGTTTTTTTCGCATATGCCTCCTCATTCATTATACGAGCGGGCAAACCGAGGGAGAAGCGGTTGCACAATTTTTGTTTTGATCGTCTTCGACGAACGTCAATTTCACGGTGGATCTTCGTCGGCAAACATTCAGCCCGGTAGCTGCCTACCGAGTTGTCTCGCGCCGGTCACTCTGTACATTGTTCAACGCAAAACGAACCGTTGGAACAACCTTCTCGCCGAAAAATTCGTACGCTGTCCGCATAAAATGACAATTATTTATTCCCAGTCTCCATAAACTCTTGCCGGGACGATCGTAAGCGAGCCACGTACGAAACGGCACGAATCATTCGAGCACAACGCGCCGGCAACTTTATTACCGTGGGTACACGATTTTCCCGTCTGGCCGATCTTTTTGGAACTTTCTCGGGTTCCGGTTTCACTGGTGCCCAACGCCCCGGACAATGCTGAATCGCTAGCGAACTCGTCTTGGACGATGGACACGCGCGAAAGCAGGGAAAGTATATCTCGATTCGCTATGCTTGACATACATATTAGTGGGCGACGCATAGGAGCGTATGCACGGCTGAGATCGTGCCGGAGAGATCCAGGTTCAACGCGGAATCGCTCGGAGAATCGGTCCAATACTAAGATAATATTCGCTTCGACTTTTAACGAGAGTGCAACCTGTTCCGAGTATAATCAGCTCGCGTTTATAACCGATAGGAACGTTTGCGCAAGTTACACAACTTCCACTTTCATGGGATATCTAGACTCAATTACGAGTAATCCTAACCG